GTGGGCAATGGAATCCCAAAAGGCTTGGTCCTAGACCTGTGCTGTTCAATGTCTTCATCAGTGACTTGGATGTTGGGGTGGAGAGCACTCTGTCCAAATTCACAGATGATACCAAATTATGGGCTAAAGTTAACACTGGAGTTTAGGGAATTAATCCAGGCAGATCTGGTCAGGTTGGAAAAATGGGCAGAATGAAATAGGATGCAGTTCAACAAAAATAAGTGCAAAGTGCTGCACCTAGGGAGAAGGAATCACCAACACGCTTAAAGGCTGGGGAAGGACCTTCTCAGCAGCACAGCAGTAGAAAGGGATCTCAGGGTCATTGTTGACACCAAGATGAACATGAGTCGTCAATGTGATGAAGTGATCAGTAAAGCTAACTGCACTTTATCACGCATTACCAGGTGCATGATGAACAGGTCCAGGGAAGTGATACATCCCCTCTATGCAGCACTGGTCAAGCTGCAGTTGGAGTGCTGTGTCCAGTTTTGGGCACCATACTTCAAGAGGGATGTCGACAACCTCAAAAGGGTTGAGAGGAGAGCCACTTGTATGGTTAGGGGCCTGCAGGCAAAGCCCTACAAGGACAGCTTGAGGGACCTGGATTTCTTGCAAGAGAAGGCTGAGAGGTGATCTTGTGGCCACCTAAAATTCCTCAGCAGGGGGCCATGGGCGACTGGTGTCTCCTGAGTCTGTGGGGGCATCAGTGGCCAAGCGCTGAACAGGGCAGGGGGGTCCCCCAGAGGCCAGTCACCAATCCCAGAAGTGCTGGTGACAATACCAGAAGTGCCGCTGGTGCTTCCCTTGGCACCTCCACTCCCCAGCCAGTGAGAGCCAATCTCGGGGGGGGGGGGGGGGGGGGGGGGGGGGGGGGGGGGGGGGGGGGGGGGGGGGGGGGGTGTCACGCATTACCTCCATTTTATCTAGGTCAGCGGTTCCCAATCTGCGGTATGGGTATCACCTTTGGTATGCAGACAACCTGTCAGTGGTACCTGTTAACAGATTTATTATAATTATTTTATATGACAAACATTTGCTGGTGGTACTTAAGGTTGTAGCATTTTAATTGGTGATGCACAATCTGTCAGAGTTTGGGAACTTCTGTTCTAGGTCCCATTAATGATTTCTACAATGTAGTATTATTTTCCTATTACATTACATTGAAATTAAGAAACTTACCCAAGATTACTCAGGCAGTTTGTAGCAAAGGTGAGTCTAAGGCTCATTTGAAAAAACAAAAATCTTAGTCCAAAACCTTTAAATATTGTCATTTTCATTGACAGCTGCTCTGTCATCATGTAGTTGGGAAGAGAGTTTGCCTCTAAGAACCAGTTTTTTTGCTTTGACTTTTATGAAGGCATCTGAAAAAACATTATCTGGTAGTGTGACAGATTTTTCCCTATATTTTAGTTATTTACATTATTCACTGTTTTCCTTACAACTTCCTTTTTCCTGCAGACTCATAAATTTTATTTGTTTCAAAACAAAATATAAAATATGTAAAAAAACAAAAAAAAACAAACAGCATTCACTCCTCCAGCTCACGTATGAATAAGTTGTTTTATTGCCAGCCTGAAAAAGCTCCTGCGGTACTTGTTTGCCTTGCAGCTGATGTTCAATTTAATAAGATACATTTTCCCTTAATCCATGACACCTCACCTTAGCCACTGACCTTCAGTAGAGAGTAGACAAATGTCTCCTGACAGTTTGAGTACGTGAGGTCTCCTGCATGCCCTTATGCAACAAAATATTCTCAAACAGTTCCAAGACGATAGATTGCTGGTTTCCCCCTGCCCCCACCTACATCCTCTGTGTATATCCTAGTAACTTAACTCAAGCTGATGTTTTCTCTGCACCTTCAAAATTATTTTCACATTTACAGTGGAAACTAAATTAACCAGATTCTATTTAATATGTGCCTTTAGGAATAAATAATGGTACAGGTTTCCCTCACTTTATGCAGTTTCTGTATGTACGAATTTGCTCTTATGTGATGACCCTTTTTATAGCAAAAATTCATCATATGCAAGGTAAATTCACTCTTATTCGATCAGTGTGGTGGAAGCCCACAATCAGATACTTTGTGTGGTGCATTGTGGGAGTGACACACCAAAATATAGTCTCCTGTGTGGAGCCATGTGTTTCTATAGTTGCCATCTCCATTATGGCTTCTAAGCATCCTGCTAGCTTATCTCCTATCCATCTCCCAGGTCCATCAATTAAGCCTTCACCACCCTCTCTTCACACCAGCAAAACATTCACCATCACCCTGTGCTTGTGTATACTGTCTGATCATGGGTGACTGGTGGCCCCAGTGGCCAGTTAGTGACCAAGGGGGGAGGGGTCCCCCACAGCCGATCACACCAACCCAGAAGTGGCAGTGGTGTGCCACTGGCACTTCTGAGTGGCCACAGTCGGCCCCAGAGGAACTACAGGGAGTGCTTCACCTGGCACCCCCAATCCCCAGCCAGTGCTCTGAAGGGGGGTACCAGTGCTCTCGCCTGCCCGCCCTGCCTGGGAATGCTGGCCATCAGGGGGTGCACGTCCAACACTGTGTGCCCCCTAAGCGTCACCACTGTCTGATGTTGGTGAGAACCAAAATTGTCTTGTAACAGTGGTAGAAATAGTGGGGAGCCCTGGGCTGCCTGCTCCCCCATCTCTGTATTTGTCCTGGCACTCACGACTTTGGTGTGGCTTGTGCCACTTTTTTTCCAGGTTTTTTTTTCCAAGCGACCGTAAGGGAGAATTCTCTACAGTGATTTTAACTATGCATGCTAAATGATTTGTTCTTTCTATCAAAGGCTTTCCGTAAACATTGGGGGTTTCACACTTGGTATCTTAGTCATAAAATGCAACTTACAGGACTAACGCCCATTAGTGTGATTAATGAGAAACTGTCTAAAAAAAGAGGTTGAATGGCTATGAGATTGAGTGAATCAACTAGGGAGGCATTAATGGGGCAAAACTAAATGGACTGAGACAGAATAATATTGGGATGACAAGTTTACATATAGCTACACAGAACTGCAAATCTAACTATATATCTGATAGTTCATTGGTCACATTAATTTCTCAACCAAATTTTCTCATTTTTAGCATATTTTAAGTCTCTCATTTATGACTTCACTGAACTGTCCAATATTGTATTTACTGAAGATTTTAAATATCTAAATTACTTTCTTGGTTGCTGGCTTTCACATATAACTTGAGTTTTAGCCCCACACAGGGACAGTGCACTTCCAGCTGCCTCACACCATAAGTGCAATTGTGTGGCTGCAACCAGAGTGGTTTTTTTTTTCTGTCCCTACCTCCCAAGTCCCAAAAGAAAATAGTTGAAACTCTGTTCCCCTGGGCATCACCTGGGATAACAAGGAATAACGGCCACAAATTGATTGAGAGCAGGTTCAAACTTGATATCAGGAGGCATTACTTTACGGTGAGGTCTGCCGGGCTCTGGAATGGGGTCCCAAAGGAAGTGGTGCTCTCCCATACCTTGGGGGTCTTCAAGAGGAGTTTGGATAGATACATGGCTGGGGTATTATTATCCCAGCACTCATTCCTGCCCAGGGCAGGGGTCAGACTTGATGATCTCTTCAGGTCCCTTCTGACCCTAGAAACTATGAAGTTGGTGTCTCAGGCAGCTGCCATGGTTGCCATGTATATAAATGACTGTCTCTACATAGCATTTTGAAATGAATGTTACAAGGTTTAATTCCTTTAACTTTTATGAGACTCACTGAAATATTGTCCAAGAAAAATTCTGCACAAATCCATTTTTCTTTTATTTAATATTTGAAGGCATTTTTTTCTTAATTGGCCTTAATTTTCAACAACATTTTTATATAATGAACACAATCTCCATGCAACATCTTGATTTATTATTTTATTAATGGTGGGGTTTGAATAACACCTTTATATGCAGTACCAAAGTACCTGCGTAAGTGCATGTCTTAAATCTAAAAATGAAAGGAAATTCTGCTTCGTAAATCTAAGTTTATATTCTGCTCCATATCATGCAATTTTGCCTTGAAATTTGAGAGGCCACAGAATTAAATACATCCCAACATTTTCCAGAATTAAATATATCCCAGCCTTATAGTTGACTGCATTTTTCCCCTCTAAAAGTCATTCAGAGTAAAAGTAGCATGCTTAAAAATAAACTGCTATTTGATTTGGCACTATCATCATGGGCACTTCCCATCCATGTAAGCGGTGTTTTTTATCTTCTAATCATTCAAAAGCCTCTTGTGACTTTCTTTGTTTACTCAACTTGTTTAGATACTTTTAAAAAAGTGTTACCCTTCTTTTGACTTCTTGTCCAATGTGTTAAAGTGCTTAAATCAAGCAGTGATGGGTGAAATGGTAAACATTGTTAAATTATGGATCAAAATATAGCAAATTATATTTTTTCAAGACAAATGCAAGAAAAAGTTATGAACTGAACCTTATTAACAAATGGACGTCTAGTTATATAAATCAAGCAAATCACAAGAATCGAACGATCCTCTAATTGGAAGCTAAAATATTTGCATAAACATACTTTTCAGTGTAATAGATGCAAAGATGTTTGCCAATGCACCTGTTGCTCTATGCTTTGACAAGGGAAGGATCCTCCAAGTTGTTATATCAGTGTGATTCACACTATAGCAAGACAGAGCTGTACCTCCCCTTTATTGGAAGGTCCGTGGTTTCATGTGTTACTGAGGACAGTGAAACCTGCCAAGGTAAAAGTACTTGCAAGTTATCAGTGGACAAAAATAAGGTTTCAATGAACTGTGGTGCTACATGTACTATGTGTAAAATTCATGGGAAAGAACCTCCCCTGGTGTAAATTGTCATAGTGATGTTGATTTTAGTAGACCTCTGCTGCCTTACACCAGCTGAGAATCTGCCCCATCATTCTTGGACACTCCCTATCCAGGGAAATAAGTGTTAGAACAGTTTTTCAAGCTAATGCTTGTTTTCACCAGATTTCTCTCGTTTTACTTTTTCCTTTCTAGAGCGTTTCAACGTGTATCTTATGCCTACACCAAATTTAGATATCTATGGGGAATGTACAATGCAGATCACACATGAAAACATCTATCTCTGGGATATTCACAATGCCAAGGTCAAGCTGGTCATGTGGCCTCTGAGTTCCCTGAGGAGATATGGACGTGACTCAACGTGGTTCACATTTGAGTCTGGAAGGTAAGAACTAAAGAAGATGGAATAAAATTATTTTTGACCTATTGCTTGATGATTAGGAGAGAGATTTTTATCATGGAAACTTTTGACCAATATTTGTTAACAATTGCCTGCTTGTGCCTAGATTTTGAAGATATTATATTTTATTTAGGATTTTATAAATGTGTACTGATGGATGGAAAAAGACTGTCATTTGTAACAGATGAATACTCCAAGTTAGGCTGGACCCTTGCACATGAGTAAACAAGGATATATATTGGGCATAGTTTCCCATTTTTGTATATTACATCTCAAAATTGCTTGATATTCAAATGCACCATAGCATTCTTAACATTTAAGAGTACTGGCACAGTCTAAATGCTACTTTTCAGTTCAGTGTCCAGCTTTCTTCCACGTGTACATTTTGTAGGGTTGTATTCCAGACAGTAACGGTCACTGAGTTCTCAGATTTTAGTATTAGAAATATAGTTACATTCACAAAAGCTAAGGGGATATGGGTGTGAGTATCTGATGCAAAAAAATTGAGTGCTAGGAAAAAACCCTGTCTTAGATTTGAATATAAGTGGAGGGAGGGGCAGGAGCTGTGGCTCTGACTTGAGCCTGGAGTTGGAATCAGATTAGCTTCTGCCCCCTGCACTACTTGCCCCACATCTTCTTCTCCCCCTGCCTTTGCTCCCACCACTACCCCCACTCTGTTTTCCCCCCTCCTTCCCTCCACCTTCCCTCTAATACTTATCTTCCCATCACAACTCTGCCCCAGGACAGGGAGCACATGCTGCCTCTGCCCCAACCTGGCCACACAGCCAGCTCTAGGGCTGGTGCTTCTGCCCCCAAAACTGCTGTTGTGTGGACAGATGGGGGCCAGAGGCAGTATGTGCTCCATACTCCCTTTCCTGAGCTGGAGTGGGGTGGGAACCAGAACTGTGACAGGAGAGTAGTCGGGGGAGGATGCAGAAGTGGCAGCAGGGGTGACAGTGGTGGGCAGAAAAGAGTGGCATATGGGGGAGGCAGTGCTGAAGGCAGGCAACAGGGTGTGCAGGTACAGCTGGGCAAGTGGGGGCAGTAAATGTGGGACAGGTAGTGCAAGGGCAAGTAACACAGGGAAAGATGCAAGGGATTCACACACTGAGGGGGGATGAGTAGCAGGGCAGAAAGTGCCTGGGAGGTAGATGGCGAAGGGTTTAGGCACCGCGATGGGGCAGGCATGAGGCATTGAGGTGGGGCAGACAGCCAGAGGGCAAAGTTCTCCTACTAACTGCCCCCCACCACTGTTTGCCTTGTGGGAGTAGTATGGGGGACAAATATAAGATGATCCTCCAAAATTAGATTCGATACATAAACTTTTATAACAAACTTATAAATTTTCCATGTCAAGAATCTTAAATTCAAAGTTGTCTTGAATTTTGATAAATATGGTAATTACCTCACTGTCACTCCTATTCCCAGGCCAATTTAAAATATCTGTCTCACTCTTCTTTTACTCGTATCACAACTTCTGTTATTACATTTTTGACTCCATGTACTCTGTCTGCTTTTCTCTTCTTGTTACTTGCTTAGTATCTTTCTACTGCTCATTGTGTCCATCAGCCCTTCAGTCCCTATTTTTTATTTTGTCTTTTTACTCTCAGTTCTGTTTTTAATATTCTCCCAAAACTGACTCCATGCATGCAGAGTCCTGAACTCTACAGAGGGAACTGCAGAATGTAGGTTTTTGGAATAGTAACATTTAGGGTAGGAAACAGGAGGTTGTACATATGTACGGTGTATATTAAAAGGAATAATAGCATGTTCGGTGTTGTTTGGAGTGGCAGTAAGTAGACCTGCACAGATATAATAAAATTAAAATCCTAAATACTAACATAGGTAGTGATCAAAAACTCTATGCGGCTTATTTTTTATCATAGTTCATTGTATTATAGGAAAGAAGGCGTGGAAGGGACCTCACAAGGTCATCTAATCTAGCCCTATACTCAATGCAGGAACATCCCTGACTAAACTGTCTCATTCAAGTGCCTGTCTAACCTGCTCTTGAAAACTTCCCAAGATGAAAATTCCACATTTTCTCTCGATCATGTGTTCCAATACTTGACCACCCTCATAGTCAAAATTTTCCCCTAATCTCCAAGCTAAATTTCTCCTGATGCAGCTTGAAGCCATTGTTCCTAGTCCAACCCCCCATAGCCACAGAGAAGAGTCCATCTCCATCCTCTCTCTAATCACCGTTCAGATAGTTGAAAACTGTTATCAAATCCTTCCTCAGTCTTCTGTTCTCCGCACTAAATAATACTAGTTCTTTCAACCCATCCTGGGAGTCTTATGTCCCAGGCTCCAGTCATTTGTGTTGCTCTCTGCTGGGCTCTATCCAAGCTGTCCATGTCCTTCCTTAAGTGTTGGCCCAATAACTGGACTCAGCACTCCAAGTGAGGCTTCACCAGTGCTGAATATTGTGGAAGGATTACTTCTTTTGATATGCAAGTGACAGTATGCTGTTGGTTTTTCTCACAACCTAGCCACATTATTGGCTCATATTCAGTTTATGGTCCTGTGTAATCCCCAGGCCCTTCTCTGCAGTACTGCAGCCTCGTCAGTCAATCCCCAGTCTCTATTTGTGCATGTATTACAAATACAGGACTTGACACTTGTCCTTGTTGAATCTTATTTGATTGATAGCAGACCATTTTTGCAATCTATCCAGGTCATTTTGCATCTTAGCCCTGCCCTCCAGAGTGTCTGCAACTCTTGTGTTGTCCATGTGGTGTTGTCCACAAATTTGCTAAGCATGTACTCAAACCTATCATCCCAGCTGCGTTCAATGATCCAACCAGTTATTTATACACCTTACAGTATTTTTGTCTATTTTGTCTGTATTCCCTTAACTTGTTAATCAGAATGTCACAGTTTCATAGTTGGTAGGGTGGAAGGGACTTGAGCAGATCATCAAGTCCAACCCCTGCCATGGGCAGGAAAGAATGCTGGGGTCAAACAACCCCGGCAAGGTGATTATCTAGCCTCCTTTTGAAGACCCCCAGGGTAGAAGCGAGCACCACTTGGAAGTTGGTTCCAGATCCTAGCCGCCCTCACAGTGAAGTAGTGCTTCCTGATGTCCAGCCTAAACATACTCTCAGTCAACTTATGGCCATTATTCCTAGTTACTTCTGGTAGTGCTTGGGGGAACAGGGTCTCTCCCATTCCCCGCTGGTCCTCCTTGGTAAGTTTATAGACAGCCATCAGATCCCCTTGCAGCCTTCTCTTGTGGAGGCTGAACAAGTTCAGGTCCCATAGCCTCTTCTCGTAGGGCCTGCCCTGCTGCCCCCTTATCATGTGAGTGGCCCTACTCTGGACCCTCTCGATGCTGGCCACATCCCTTCTGAAGTGC